ACTGACAAATACATATATTATGTTGATTTGAGTCAGGCAATGTTTCGTACTTATTCATGATCCAAAGCACCTATTTAGAAGTTCGCAGCTGAGCGAGGATAAGACGGAATACAGTTTTCGCTACATTTTGATTTCAGTAATCTAAACAAAATTTTGTAAAAGTTGCGGTAAAAAAAGTCAATAAGTGTGCTCTCTCTTGCGCGTGATTACAGTAAGGCTGACTTGGCAGCTGCTCGGGTTTGTAAACATTTTGAGGGGTGATGGGACTTTGCGGGGAGGCGAGACTAGAATTTTTCAGTGCGAGCCTGAAGACATTTGATCGAGGGTTTATAGTGTGTTAAAGTCGAGTGTGAGACTCTTAAGACTTTTACACGTCAGTTATAACTTGAGAAACAAAATATTCACATTCATATCCATTCATATGTTGGGACATCTAGACTTTCTCGGTCTTTTAAAGATCGAGACTGCGAGACAACCTTATGAAAATAGCGAGACTGCGAGACGCAAATAACTGCGAAAAAAATTCTGAAGATTATGAAGTACATCGTTTACATGGTGAGAGAGTTTTTATTCCCGAAGAAATTCTTAGGACCAAAGGTACGGAAAGCAAAAGAGGAACTGTGATTGGCTTTTCGCTTCCTTGACGACCGCCAAGTTTTTCTCAAGCATGCACTGCTTAACGGCGACCAATATTCATGACGACATATTATTTTCAGGAAAATATAAAATTTTGAGAAACATCGCAACGTTTCGTAAAACATGTTTCAACAGAATCTTCTGTCATCTTCAGTTTTAATTACAAAACTGAAGATGACAGAAGATTCTGTTGAGACATGTCTTTAAAAAACGTTGTGTTGTTTCTCAGAATTTTAACATGTGTGCTACTATCCAGACCTTTTGAAAATATAAAATACTTTTACGCTCCTAAAACGGATATCTTGGAATTACACGGTGTATCTACTATTGGCCATTTGATGTCATGGTTTAATGTGAGTCCGTAAGTTAATTTGTCGAATTTTATTGGTCACACGCCGTGCTATAAGCTGTACAGTACGTTAACTCTTAACGGTTAACGCGAAAGCGTTTGTTGCATGATTCAGAAAATGGTAGAATAGGTGGGGTCCAACTGTATATGGTTTATTGACTAGGCGTGAGGTCAATATGGCTAGATATTGACGAAGTTCTTGATTTGCTTCTTTATGGACCGAAACGAAGTCGAAGTCCTTAAGAGCAGCTTCGCCTAAATATCAACTAGACTTGGAAATAGCGAAAAAATCGAATTTCT